GTCGCTGCCCCGTCGCTGCCCCGTCGCTGCCCCGTCGCGCGCACCCCGGCACCGAGCGCCCTGGCGCCCAAGGGCCGCACTGGACGCGCCAGAGGCTGCGTCTGGCCTGGAGCTGGTCCTGGAGGCCCTGGAGTTGGGAGGATTTTCTATCTTTAAAAATTGTACGTATGCACGTCTCATATGCATATATAATCTGTTGCATTATATACACACGCGCGCCAATGTGCATGAAATGTTCTGTTTTAACTTAAAACATAAATACGTACCCAGTTGCCCAAGTTTTTACGCACAGGCGAGACTTCGGATGCGGGGCTGCTGGAGTGCCACGGATTTCTTCTCCTGTAAACTACCCGCCAGGGTCGTAGCCTGCGCTTGCCAACATCAGTTTCTTTCCTGGGGACCGGGAACTTGTGACGTGCTCTGAGGGCAGAACTTTCCTGGACACCTACCATGTCCCCAAACTTCTTGACAGTCGCCGTCACCCCGACACCTAGAGTGGCGGCTGTCTTTTTCCTCCAGCAATGTGTCCCGCTTGAATGGCCACAGACACCTCAGCTCTTTTGCCCACTTGTGTTTCATTTATTTTCATGACAGGCTGCAAGTGACATAACCAGTGCAAGGGGCTTCAAGGCGCACAGGAGCAGACCCAACTGGCCCTTGGTTGGGGTGCCCCTGGGTTAGTGGAGACAGATGCCCGGCGAGCCACAGGCAGGCAGTGGGGCTACGGTGTCTGCCTGGATTGAGAAAAAGGCTTTTGACAGGGTGAGGAATGACAAGAGCTGAGTTTCTGTGTAAAATGAGACCAGTGTCCCATGATAAATGCGGGATAGGGAGGGGATTGACAATATGAGGGACCATGCCGAGAAATCTAGGCAGACAGCCCGTAGGTGTTAAGATGATAAATAGATGACAGCCAGCACCCAGAAACCTGCTCCCCTCCCCTCCCAGGGTCCCCCCCCACACACACACTTTAAAACCACAGACTGCGGTGGCCAGTCTAATGAACGGAATGACACAGTCCTCGTTTTTATGTGTCTGACTTCTTTCATTCAGCATAGCGGTGTTCTTTGTAACAGCCGAGAACTGGAGACAAACCCAGAGGCCCAGGAGCAGAAATAATGTGTAAGGAGGTTGCCATGTTGTCATACAGCCCAGCAACCCAAGGGGATGACCCGTTGCTGTGGGCAGCAGCGTGGATTAATGTCACAAACATAAGATGGCGTGAAAGAAACCAGACTCAAAAGACTATACCGCTCAGAACCGAACGGAACTCAGTAGTATTTTATTTTATTTATTTAAGTTTATCTTTCTTGATGAGAATATTCCAGATGTCCCCTTTTTACCTCCATTGATCCCCTTCACCCCGCATCCATCCCACCCCCAGGCCCTCCCCACACCAATGCCTGTGTCCATGAGTTATGCTTATAAACATATAAGTTCTTTGGTTAACCTCTCCCCACCCCCTCCCCCCTCCCCACCTTCCGTGCTTCTCTGTCTCTGGATCCACTTTGGTCATCAGTTTATTTTGTTTATTACATTCCACATATGAGTGAGGTCATGTGGTACTTGTCTTTCTCCGACTGGCTTATTTCACTTAGCGTAATACTTTCCAGTTCCCTCCATGCTGTCCCAAAGGATAAAAGATCTTTCTTTTTCACAGCTGCGTAGTATTCCACGGTGTGAATGTGCCACAGCTTTTTTATCCACTCATCTACTGATGGGCACTTGGGCTGTTTCCAGATCTTAGCTATTGTAAATTGTGCTGCTATGAACATAGGGGTGCATAAGTTCTTTGTGATTGGTGTTTTGGGTTCCTTAGGATATACTCCTAGAAGTGGGATCACTGGGTCAAATGGAAGGTCAATTTTTAATCTTTTGGGAAACTCTATACTGCTTTCCATGGTGGCTGCAGCAGTTTGCATTCCCACCAGCAGTGTACTAGGGTCCCCTTTCTCCACACCCTCGCCAGCACGTGTCATTTGTTGATTTGTTGATGGAGCCATTCTGACAGGTGTGAGGTGATACCTCAGTGTGGTTTTAATTTGCATCTCTCTGACGATTAGCGATTTCGAACATTTTTTCCTATGTCTCTTAGCCACTTGTGTTCCCTCTTTGGAGAAGTGTCTATTCAGGTCCTTTGCCCATTTTTAAATTGGATTGTTTGTCTTCCTTTTGTTAAGTTGTATGAGTTCCTTATATATTTTGGATATTAACCCTTTATCCGATGTGTCGTTGGCCAATGTCGTTCTCCCATACAGTGGGCTCCCTTTTTGTTTTGTTGATGGTTTCGTTTGCTGTGCAGGAGCTTTTTATTCTGATGCAGTCCCATTTGTTTATTTTCTCCTTAGTTTCTCTTGCCCTAGGAAATGTATCAGCAAACATATTGCTACGAGAGATGTCTGAGATTTTGCTGCCTGTGTTTTCCTCTAGGATTTTTATGGTTTCATGTCTTGCATTTAAGTCTTTTATATCCATTTTGAATTTACTTTTGTGTATGGTATAAATTGGTGGTCTAGTTTCATTTTTTTGCATGTACCTGTCCAATTTTCCCAGCACCATTTATTGAAAAGACTGTCTTTACTCCATTGTATGTTCTTGCCTCCTTCGTCAAATATTAATTGAGCGTAATGTTGTGGGTCAATGTCTGGGTTCTCTGTTCTGTTCCACTGATCAGTATGTCTGCTCTTGTGCCAGTACCAGGCTGTTTTGATTACAGTGGCTTTGTAGTATAACTTGATATCCGGTACTGAGATCCCTCCAACTTTGTTCTTCTTTCTCAAGATTGCCGTCGCTGTTCAGGGTGTTTTTTGGTTCCATATATATTTTCGAAGTGTTTGTCCTAGATCTGTGAAATATGCTGTTGGTATTTTAATAGGGACTGCATTGAATTTATAAATTGCTTTGGGTAATATGGACATTTTAATGATGTTAATTCTTCCAATCCATGAACATGGTATATTTTAAAATTTGCTTATATCTTCCTCTATTTCTTTTTTCAGTGTCCTGTAGTTTTCTGAGTAAAGGTCTTTTACATCTTTGGTTAAGTTTATTCCTAGGTATCTTATTTTTTTTAGTTGCAATGGTACATGGGATTGTTTTTTTAGTTTCTCTTTCTGAGAGTTCGTTACTGGTGTAAGCAAATGCCATTGATTTCTGGGTGTTAATTTTGTATCCTGCTACCTTGCTGAATTCATTTATTAAATCTAGTAGTTTTTTGGTGGAGTCTTTAGGATTCTCTATGTACAATATCATGTCATCTGCAAATAATGACAGTTTTGTTTCCTCCTTTCCAATTAGGATGCCTTTTATGTTTTAAGTCCTTTGCCCATTTCTTAATTGGGCTGTTTGTCTTCCTCTTGCTGAGTACTATGAGTTCTTTGTACACTTTGGAAATTAGGCCCTTATCAAATACATCCTTAGCAAATATGTTTTCCCAGACCGTGGGGTTCCTTTGAATTTTGAGGCTGTTTTCTTTTGCTGTGCAGAAGCTTTTTAGTTTGATGTAGTCCCATATGTTTATTTTTTCTTTTGTTTCTCTTCCCCTAGGAGATGCATCAGTGAAAATTCCACTACGTGAGATGTCTGTGACTTCACTGCCTATGTTTTCTTCCAGGATTTTTATGGTTTCATGACTTACATTTAAGTCTTTTATCCATTTTGAGTTTATTTTTGTGTATGGTGAAAGTTGGTGGTCTAGTTTCAATTTTTTTGCATGTATCTGTCCAATTTTCCCAGCACCACTTATTGAAGAGACTGTCTTTACTCCATTGGATACTCTTGCCTCCTTTGTCAAATATTAACTGACCATAATGGCGTGGGTCTATTTCTGGGGTCTCTGTTCTGTTCCATTGATCTATATGCCTGTTGTTGTACCAATACCAGGCTGTTTTGATTACAGTGGCTTTGTAATACAGTTTTAAGTCTGGTAAAGTGATCCCTCCCACTCTGTTCTTTTTTCTCAAGATGGCTGCAGCTATTTGGGGTCTTTTTTGGTTCCATATAAATTTTCGAAATGTTTTTCTAGGTCTGTGAAATATGCTGTTGGTAATTTAATAGAAATTGCATTAAATTTATAAATTGCTTTGGGTAGTATGGACATTTTAATGCTATTAATTCTTCCAATCCATGAGCATGGTATATTCTTCCACTTGTTTAAATCTTCCTCT